AACCTCATCCCGTTGGTCTCGGCCCATCGATCCAGCCTGTCTAGATCTCTCTGCAGAGCCTCTCTACCCTCCAGCAGATCAACACTGCCACCCAGCTTGGTGTCGTCTGCGAACTTACTGAGGGTGCACTCGATCCCCTCGTCCAGATCATTGATAAAGATGTTAAAGAGAATTGGCCCCAGTACCGAGCCCTGTGGGACACCACTCGTGACTGGACGCCAGCTGGATTTAACTCCATTCACCACCACTCTCTGGGTCCGTCCCTCCAGCCAGTTTTTAACCCAGCAGAGGGTATTCCCATCCAAGCCATGGGCAGCCAGTTTCTCCAGGAGGATACTGTGGGAGACTGTATCAAAGGCTTTGCTGAAGTCCAGATAAACAACATCCACAGCCTTTCCTTCATCCGCCAAGCGGGTCACTTTGTCATAGAAGGAGATCAGGTTTGTCCAGCAGGACCTGCCCCTCGTGAACCCATGCTGGCTGGGCCAGATTGCATGGGTGTCCTTCATGCATTGCATGATGGCACCCAGGATGATCTGTTCCATGATCTTCCCAGGCACCGAGGTCAGACTGACAGGCCTGTAGTTCTCTGGATCATCCTTACGGCCCCTCTTGTGGATGGGCATCACATTTGCCAGGAGCATCCCAGCTAGGCAGTGGTAATGAATCCATCATTCAAAGATGCTGTTGAAAGAGTCGCAGTGCAACAGTAGGGAAGCTGAACAAGTTGCCAGGTATTAATGGGGCTGTCCTATTAAAAATGCTGTGGTGAAGCAAGCTGCAGCTGTTTAAGACCTGCTGTTGTAAAACAGTGGCAGTGGGGGAATTAGGGAGTTCAGCTGCTGGGAAAATTTGCCCCAAAAAAATAGTGTTGCAAGGACCTGACGCTGTTAGGTAACAGGCAGTGGGGGTCTGGCATGGTTGGGAAGAGGAAAAAATGAATTTCACCGGTCCTAACGCAGCACAGCACTACTCAAGCTGTTTCAACCCTCTTCCATGCTAATAAAATAGAATAAGGGGACCGTAAAGCTTTGCAGGGGAGTGGGAGGAAACACCTCATTCCAGTTTTGCGGGGGAGAAAAGCATATTTTCATACACTTTGGCAAACAAGAAGCGTGGCAACTGAAGTATCAATAGTCAAAGATGTGCTTCAAAACTCAGGGTGAAGGTAGTTTCTTATGTTGCTTTGGATGATGTAAGGGAAAAGGAAGTGCCGTAAGAGCCAGATACTCAGAAACTCTGGGATTTTTTTCTGGTTTTCCTTTCCTTTGCCCTCATGCATCCAGCTGGATCTCAATCCTGCACACACAACCACATCAAAATCCTCCTTGAGCAACAAGACTTTATGCACTGGGCTGAGTTGTGCAGACAGCTAACACTGTTTCCCTATATATGATTTTAAAACATACATTGTTTTATTATATATTCTATATATTCTTTCTTCTATATATGCTGATTTGTTCCTTGGCGGAGCCCAAACCGACACATCCTTTTTATCAAACCTATTTTGGGTGAGAATTTCTTTACACTCAGTGTTTTTATGATGTGACAGCCATAGCTGGATTTTATCTTACACCCATGGATTTAGTTACCAGTCCCCAGTGCAGATTCAAACAGGATGCTGTTTTCCCAAAAGCATTTTGGGCAAAGACAACCTAAGTCCGGGATATTGACTCTCATTTTTGCGTACGTACCTGCGGAGCCAGTTTGATCCCTTGGGGCTTTAGCGTGATGTGGTTCATCGGCGTGAGCTCCATTCCTGGCAAGAGGTCGTAGAGTTTATCCTCTCCCCTCTTTTCTCCTTTCAGCTGGTATCCACGCCCCAGGCCCGTGTACGCCAGGTAGCCGCGACCTCCCAGTCCTCTAACTCCCGCAGCCCCTACAGGTACATTCATGTAAATTTCTAGGAATGTAAGAAGGCATTAAACTGAATCATATTGCCGGAAAAATTACCCTAATTCTCGCTGAAATGGAAAAGTTAGCCCCACTTGCCATGTTTGTGAGGAAGATGGGAAGGACCCCACCATAGCCTGCTGCTGGAAAAACCCAGGCTTGACATTGACACCCATTCTTTTTGGTCTCACATGCTTGGATAGATGAGGTTTTCTGGGGGAAACCCTGCTTTTTTCTGAGCAAGTTTCTGTCTTCTATGGTCAGTTTTGATTTTGTGTCATCTTTCTAGCCAGATTTACAGTTGAAAGGCAGAGAGGGGACAGCTGGTATCACTAGCTACCCACCAGTATACTTTCACTGTCTTGAAGAATTCAGAGAATACATGTTGCTTATATGAACCAAAAGACTTTTTTCCTGCCGTTCTGCTTCCTTTTTGCCTTGGGGAGCCCTGCTTGGCAGCCTGAGGAGACTGTAAGGCAAGAGATAGCTGCTGGATTATCACATCTGAGCCTTTCCCAGTGCAACCGTCATAGAAGCTGGTTTTACCTCTGTGGGCAAAACATGGGGGGCTGCAAGGGAAATTCCTGCTCCCCTGGCCCCTTCCTTGGGAAAGGGGAAAGACTGTCTGGCACCATCCATCTGCTCTGCCAGGGACCTGGTCACGGGCCTGGGGACACAAGCTGACTGCCACAAGCATCATCTTCACAAGGAAGACCAAATAGGTGAATTTATTTATTTTTTTGCTGACCTCCCAATCTTACTTCTGCACTTACCAAATGATGCCTGCAATGATATTTAATTTGGGGATATCTGAGCATGGGAATTCGATTTGCTTCTGGGTGAGGTCGCCCGAGATCAAAGGCAGAGCCCCAGCAGCTTTCAGAATTACTCTCTGTTTTCATAGACTGCTTATTATTACGTTAATGATCCCCCCAGAAAAGGAGTCCATCTCCCAAGGCTCATAATTAATGGCTTTCTTGATTTCAGTTCTGGTTTCCTACCCTGCATCAGGGCAACACAACCTCCTTGGGAAATTCTGTGGCTTTGGGTCAGAAAAAACCAGAGATGGTAATGCTTTCCCTACGACCTTCCAAGCAAAGTGGAAACACAGCAGAGACCTGTGCTGGCGGCTGGTAAAGGGAGCTGGCTCTGAAGGGGAGAAAGGAAAATTGTGGGTTTTTTTTCTTCCCTGCTGGGGCAAAACCAGGAGAACCCATGGTTTATTTCCACTGGACCAAGGGCAATCACTAAGCTCCTACTCCAGGAAAATGGTTGGTTTTTTCTCATGCCTTGTGTAGTCTGCTGGAAGATCACGACACCTTTGGGAAGGACTAAGTCTTAAAACTGTTTTCTATCCCTGTTTGAAAAGGGTCCAGCATCCAGGGCAAAGCTGACACCCTCAACATGAGTCTGGGAAGCAGCTACCCAAGTTCCAGCAGAGATATTTTGCTGGAGCTGAGTATGGGCCCTTCAGGATTTACCTCGGACGGATGGTGGCCGGATGATGCTCCTGTTGCTGATCCCCTTGATGGCAGGGAAGTGGAGGTTGGGGATAGCTGCGTAGGCTTGGGGTGCGTAGAAAACTGGGGCACCCAGGTAGGCGGCGGCGGGGTCATACATGTGTCCGAAGGCGTAGGTGTATTCTCCCTGCAGCATGGTACCTCTGCCACCAGTTCCCCGGGTGTACCTGACATAGCTGTCCTTGTCAACGGGTTTGGCTAACGTCACTTCAATTGGGGACCCATCCAGCACCTTCATGTGGGGGTAATGGAGTAAGAGCATGAGAAGCACAAGCGTAAGTCTCCAAAGTGCATGGGGATTTTCCTGCCAGGGAGGCACTTTCCCGCGTGGTTTGCTAATGGGACAGGGAGATGGAGAAAACCACCCCAAAAAAGCAAAAATCTCCCTCCCACAAGTGGAAGAAGGCACTGGCTGGGTGAAGGTTTAACATGTTGGGAGCACCCAGGCCTGACCCCAACGGGGAGAAGCTCCTTAACCAAATCAACACGGCTGTGAAGCCTTCAAAAGTCTTCACTTCCCTGCCAAGCAGCATGTAAATCAGTGAGATTACACATGCTGTGGAGAATAGCAATAGCACTAAAAATAGGAGCAGGGTTAACACCTCTTTGGGAACAGCTCTTGCATTACAGTGCCGTGAATTACACGTAGTGCAAGAAGTACTAAATACAGCAACCTCCTTGCAAACCCACATCTGAATTTGGAGCAGATGTTTTGGGTTGACCTTGTTTTGTCCCAGTTTGCCATACACGCACTGTCCTGTGAGTGGTTTTGTTGGCAGATGGGGACCAGGATGTGAATGTGAGCCATGGGAACCCGTGGCTCGTTTGATAGTCCTGGGTTTTGTTGGCAGATGGGGACCAGGATGTGCATGTGAGCCATGGGGACCCGTAACCCCTCGTTTGATAGTCCTTGTTTTGGCTTTGCTCTGCTTTTTGTTTTTTCTGAGCAGTGAACTACAATCTGATCTGGGCAAACATTTAGCACAAATGCAAGGAGCAGGAAGCCAAAATGAACAGTTTGTGTACATCAGAGCTTCTGAAGGTGAATTCTGGGCTTTAAAATCAGCCTGGAAAGAGAAAATAGGGCTAACGCCTTCAGGATGTTTCTGTAGCTAATAAACCATGCAGCTTTGTTTCATCTGTGTATAATATACTGCACATAAGCCCCACAAATTAACATTTACAGAAGCTTTACCTTCCCATTCAAGGATTTCATGGCTTCCACTGCATATTCTCTCTTATTAAAGTGCACAAAGGCGTAGTCTCTAATTTTCTTTACTCTCTCTACCGCACCTGCAGAAAACATTGAAGTATTAGTCGGAAAATACAGATCTGAAAGAGCAACTGTGCTGGGTTATGAGCCCTTGGAGAGCAAATGCTGATAAAGGGTAAAAAAACAAAGAGGACATTGTCTTCTTACCACTTAGGATCTGTATGCAGTGGGAAAGTAAACTTATAATGGTTGTAGTATTTCAAGGCAAACTAAAATTATTTAAGGTTACCAATAAGTTTCCCATTAAACGGCAGTGGCTTTCTCCTCTCCAAAATGCTCTGTTGGATGCTACCTTTGGTCTTTTGTCTCTCTTCTGTGACAGACCACCAAGACTGGATGGCTGAGCAGGACATGCAGCAGCCCAGGATTTGGTGAGCTACATGTAACTCCACCATGTGGCTTTGTACATCCATTGTGCATATTACCTGGAGGCAGCTTGAGAAAAGCTGATGCTTCTGCCGTAAAGCAAGGAGGCATTTCTCTTAACCATCAGCTTGGGATGTTCAGCAAGAACAAGCACCCAGTCATGGGGATGGATTGGGACCATCAGGCACCAGGGACGATTGGGCATCAGGCACCACAGCCTTGCCTGTGCGAGTGGAGCATCACTGGGACAGGGCCTCAGGTGGTGAAGGATCCCCATCCCCAGCAATGTCCTGACTTGCCTGGCCACAGCCCTGATCAGCCTGCTGCAGCTGCCGTGTTGGCCCTCCTGAGACCAAGGTTGGACTGGAGGCCCCCATCCTGGTGTCTCCAGCCTGGATCTTTCTTACACCTCTGTGATTACCCAAAATAATCCAAATGTAAATGGTGTCTGGTTCTGTTCTTCTATGTCCATCCTGTACAGCTTTCCCTTGTCAGCTGCTCTGCTGCCGGGAACTTCTCAGCACCTAGATACTAAACACTAAGAAGTTTATCACCAAAATAACCACACTGGTCTTGTAGTCACAAGCCTTAGACACCTGCCTTTCCTTCTCTAATTGTTCATTTTCCCCACTCCTGTGGGTTGGGAAACACAATATCAGCCACTGAAATCATAACACCCCCAAACACATCCTTTAGAAATATATGCTGAACGAGTCTTCTGTTGGCTTCTTACCCTTTAAAGCTGAACAGGTGCACAGGGAAGTGTCGTATTGCTGCAAAAAGTACTTACTTAAATAACTGCAGGAGAAAATATTTTTCTCTGGAGTTCAGGGGGAGTCATTAGGAGCTCCAGTGGGCTAAATGAAGCCTGTCCCAGCCTATAACCTGAGCATCCTGCACGTCTTCAAAATGACACCAGAACAATAAATAGCACTTTGTGTACTTCTGGGATCGGAGAGTGATTTCCTAAGCCTGAAGTTATGGGAGTTATATGCTGATGCCTTGTTTACAAGTCAAAGTTTTAATGAACACTCTGTGTTTTAAATATTCCCCTTCTGCCTCCTTGAGAGTTGTCTCTGTTGCTGATCCACCCTGAGCCAAAAATCCTGCTCTTCCTTGCTTCTGCCTCTGATGGGACAAAGCAATGTGATACCCGCCCTTGGGCCATACCCATGTAGAGACTGTCCGTGTTAAGTTACAGGGGGAATATTGTTCCCTTCAGTACATTTGGAGACCACAATCTTCCTGCTGGAAACTTATCCAGGGAAGAGGAATTTTGCCAAAATCTCTAGGGAGCAAGGACAGGGTTTTTCAGTGAAACAAGTGATGCATATCTCTATAGAAGTCATCTGGCACAGATTTAAGGGGTGATACGTGTTCTATATTGCAACTTGAGAGGCAAGAGCAGCGTTCCTTTTAGTGTCCATGGAGCCCATAGTGATGTGGTAATTGCTCTGTCATGGGGACCTCTGGATCACAACTCCTCTCGTTAGGATCATTTTTTAATGGATGACTTGTTAGTGTCAAAACAGACTCTTAATTCCCTGGATCAAATGTACACTTCAGGCAAGAGCACTGAAATGCAGCGCAATGAACAAGGCAGATAACCAAGGCAAGGAGGTGAATAATTTCAGATTCTTGCTGACTTTTCTGGTTGTAATCTCACCGTAGCTTACACTGTGCATGCTCTACTCAAAGCTCAGGTTTTCCTGGTGTGAGGCACATTTTTTTGAAAGCACGGCACAGCTTTATGAAAGGTATTCATGACTTTATCCAAAATAAATAAAGCTGTCAATTAAGAAAAATATTAAAAATTTTTCAGTATGAGAAGTAAAAAGATGAAGCAATGAAAGGAAAATTAGAGGTAATACAGATCTCTGCTATTGTGCTAGAAAACTTGTTTTAGGAGCAAACCAGATGACATTTACCGAAGCGTCAAAGGGGCATAAATGTGTTTCTGGGGATTGCAAGCAGTTCAACATCTAGTACCAAAACTGGGCAAAAAAAAGGAGGAAACGGTTAAGAAAATGGAACTCTGTAGTGTAATTTAAAAAAATTAGTAGAAGGAAGTTAATAGGAACAAGATGACAGGGGATTTCACATAGCTGAGCGTAAGTTATTAATACCTGCTGGACTGTGTGGCTTGGAGAGCATCAGAAATTGGTTATTTTTACTTTGTTGGTTTTGGGTGGAATTTCCTAAAGCTGGAGCAACTCAGAAGTAAAATCTCCTTTGGAAGCCAGCAGGATTTTTATTCCCTACCAACTTACTTGCTTTTTGAAAAACCTCACCCTAAGTATATGCAATATATTCCATGAAAGATTACCATTGTATTCTATGTTAAATGATAAGCACTGATTATTCAAAAATTTACAAAAGAATGTGGGATATATTTGTATGGAAATGATAGAATTCAGAATCTGGTCAGATTAGATAAAAAGCATTTGAATTAAACCACTCTATTTCTAAAATCAGCCCTTGCCATGGAAGAATAATGCTGAAATCACCCAGCTGTTTCACCAACTCCCATACATGTTGGGTGGGAGCCTTCAGCCTTATGATGATTTTTGTGGCATTACACATCAACATTTTAGAGTGGAAAATTAATTATTTTTATCTATTCATAGAATGGTTAGAATTGGAAGGGACCTTAAAGATCATCAAGTTCCAACCCCCTGCCATGGGCAGGGACAAATCCCACCAGACCAGGTTGCTCAAAGCCCCATCCAACCTGGCCTTGAACACCTCCAAGGCATACAGAGCTTCTCTGGCCAGCCTGGGCCAGTGCCTCACCACCCTCACAGTAAAGAATTTCTTTCTAGTATCCAATCTAAATCTCCCCTATTTCAACTTAAAACTATTACTCCTCATCATATCACTACAATCCCTCATAAAGGGTGCCTCCCCATCTCTCTTTTAGCCCATTTAGGTACTGGAAGGCTGATATAATGTCTTCCCAGAGCCTTTTCTTCCTCAGACTGAACAATCCCAACTCTCTCAGCCTGTCTTCATAGCTGAGTTGCTTCAGCTCTCTGATCCTTTTCACGACCCTCCACCATTCCAACAGGTCCATGTCCTTCCTGTGCTAAGGACTCCAGAGCTGGATGCAGTGCTCCAGGTGGGGTCTCACCAGAGCAGAACAGAGGGGTAGAATCACCTGCCTTGATCACTTCTTTTGATGCAGCCCGGGATACGATCGGCTTTCTGGGCTGCCAGCACACATTGCTGGCTCATGTTGAGCTTCTCATCCACCAACACCCCCAAGACATTCTCTTCAGGGCTGTCTCAATCCATTCTCCACCCAACCTGTATTTGTACCTGGGATTGCCCTGATCCAGGTGCAGGATCCTACACTTGGCCTGGTTGCACTTCATGAACTTTGCATAGGCCAACCTCTCAAGCCTGTCCAGGTCCCTCTGCATGGCATCCCTTCCCTCCAGCATGTTGACCACGCTACACACCTTTGGCGTCGTCAGCAAACTTGCTGAGAGTGCACTCAGTTTCATTGTCACGAGGTCCCTCTGCATGGCATCCCTTCCCTCCAGCGTGTTGACCACGCTACACACCTTTGGCGTTGCCAGCAAACTTGCTGAGAGTGCACTCAGTTGCATTGTCATGTCTCCCACAAAGATGTTGAACAGCACCTTTCCTAGTACTGACCCCTGAGGAATGTCACTTGTCACTGGCTTCCACTTGGACATTGAGCTGTTGACTGTAACCCTTTGAGTGCATCCAGCCAGTTCCTTGTCCACTGAATGGTCCATCCATCAAATCCATGCCTTTCTAATTTAGAGACAAGGATGTCATGTGGGACAGTGTCAAATGTTTGCATAGGCCTGGGTAGATGATGTCTCACTTTGCCATTTTCTACCAATGCTGTGGCAGTATCGTAAAAGGCCATCAAATTTGTCAGGCATTGATGTGCCATTGGTGAAGCCATGTTGGCTTCCAAGCACCTCCTTATTTTCCACGTGCCTTAGCAGGCATTCCAGGAGGATCTGCTTCATGATCTTGCTGGACACAGAGGTGAGACTGACCGGCCTGTAGTTCCCCGGGTCTTCCTTTTTTCCCTTTTTGAAAATAGGGGTTATGTTTTCCTTTTCCAGTCAGTGGGAACATCACCAGACTGCCAAGATTTCTCTCACTTCCTGGGTGACCAGGTCTCCTGTTTCATTCCAGAGAGGGCCCACATCTTCCCTACTCTTGTCTTTATCCCTGATACATGTATAATAAGTTTTTCTTATTAACCTTGATGTCCCTGCCCAGATTTAATTCTGTCTGGGCTTTAGCTTGCCTAATCTGTTTCCTGGCCACTCGGACAGTTTCTCTATATTCCACCCAGTCTACCCGTCCTTACTTCCACCCTTTGTAGGCTTCATTTTTGGTTTTGAGCTTACCCAGGAACTCCTTGTTTATCCATAAAGGCCTCCTGGCTTTTTTGCCTGACTACTTCGTTTTTGCGATGCAGCTCTCGTGAGCTTGAAGGAGGTGATCCTTGAATGCTAATCAGCTTTCATGGGCCCCTCTCCCCTCCAGTACTTTTTCCCATGTTATTCTGCTAATCAGGTCCCCTCAAAAGGCCAAAATCTGCTCTCCTGAAGTCCAGGGTAATGAGTTTAGCTTGAAGGAGGTGATCCTTGAATGCTAATCAGCTTTCATGGGCCCCTCTCCCCTCCAGTACTTTTTCCCATGTTATTCTGCTAATCAGGTCCCCTCAAAAGGCCAAAATCTGCTCTCCTGAAGTCCAGGGTAATGAGTTTATTGTGTACCCTCCTTGCTGCCCTAAGGATCTTGAATTGTACCATCTCATGATCACTGCAGCCAAGGCTACCCTTGACTTCGACATTCCCCACCAGCCCCTCCTTGTTGGTAAGGACAAGGTCCAGCATGGCTCCTTTCCTCATTGGGTCCTCTGTCATTTGAAGAAGACAGTTATTACTGACACATTCCAAGACCTTCCTGGATTTCTTGTGCCCTGCTGTGTTGTCCCTGCAACAGATACCGGGGTGGTTGAAGCCTCCCATGAGGACCAGGGTCTGTGAACGCGATGCTGCTCGTATCTTTCTATAGAGGGCCTCAGCAACTGTCACTCTGCTCAGGTAGCCTGTGGCAGACACCTACTGTAACAGGGGCGTTACAGTAACCCCTGTTCCTGTAGTTCCCTTTAATCCTGACCCATAATCTCTCCACTGGGTCTTCATCCATCCCCAGGTGGAGCTCCATGTCCTCCAGCTGGATATTGACATAAAGGGCAACACCCTCTTCTTTTCTCTCCAGCCTGTCCTTCCTGGAGAGTCTGTGTCCTTCCATTCCAACATTCCAATCATAAAACCATCCCACCACGTCTCTGGGATGCCAGTAAGATCATAGCCTTGAAGGCATGCGCAGTCTCTAACTCCTCTTGCTTGTTCCCCAGGCTATATGCATTTGTGTAATGGCACTTCAGCTGGGCGCCCAATGGAGCTGAATTACTGGCTGGAATGGCTGCATTTCCTTCTTGTTGCTCTTCAGGTTGTTTTCCTTTGAGGTGTTTTGTCAATTACTCCCTGGTTCCTTTTGCCTCAGGAGCCCTGGCTCGTCCCCATAAGACTTTGAGTGTGCTGCAGTGTACCCAGCACATCTCAGAGCAACAGGTTGAGGGCCTGTGCTAGTGATCCTTTCCACAGATGTTGGAGCATCATCCCTTGGCTTGTCAAGGGCTAGCTGGATAATGTCCCCCTCCCCCAATAAGCTTTGTTTAGTTTAAAGGTCAGTCAATGAGCCCTGCTAGCTCGTGAGGTAGCACTGTCTTCCCCCTTTGAGAAAGATGAACCCAATCCGACACCAGCAACCCTGGTGCCGTGTAGGCCATCCTGTTCTTGAAATACCCAAAACTGTGATGGTGACACCAGCCACAGAGCCATGCATTGACAGACTGTACACGTCTGTTTCTTTCAGAGTCCTTGCCTATAACTGGGAGAACAGAAGAAAAGATTACCTGCACCCCAGATTCCTTTATTAACCCTGAACTCTCTTCTGATTACTCTTGGGCTATGTGTTGCCACCTTATTGCTACCCACATGAAGGAGCAACAGCGGGCAGCAGTCTGAGGGCCAAATCAGGCTGGGGAGTTTCCTATTAATGTCCGTGACCGAGGCTCCATGGAGGCAGTAGACTTCCCTAAGAAGAGGGTCTGCCTGGCATATTGGGCCCTCTGTTCCCCTCAGAAGGGAGTCACCTACAACTATAACCCGCCTCTTCTTCCTTGTGGAGGTGGTTTTTAAATGGGAGGTAGGCCTTCTCTTCTTTTGGCATCTTATGAATGGAGAAATATTTCCATTTGCAGTATCAGTACTTATTTAGGAGCTACTGCGTCAATGGGTTCCTACCTGGTTTGATGTTGTTGAACTCTTTTTCTATGGTCTCTTCAGTGGTCGAGAGCATGAGGTTCCTCACGTATAGAATTTTTACTGACGACATGGTGTCTTCATCCACCTCCACTTCTGGTTCTGCCCAGTCAACAGCAATAGGGTGTCCCCACAACTGGATCCTTCCTTTAAAGGGATTGGCATAGTTAGTGTCAGAGAAGCTTTTGTTCCTCTCACTTCTGCTCACGAGCAGCATGAACAGAAGAATGGGCCAATTCTACAAATGGGACTGAGATAAGCATTTCTACCTCCTAGCTCAGCTGCTTCGTTAATTCATTTCCAAAAGCAGATGGTCACACTTTCAGCATGCTCCCACTAATAACTTAGATGCTTGCAGAAATGCAATGTCCAGAATTAAAGAAGTGAAAATATGGTACTATTCAAGAATGCCTGCCTTTCCTGTAGTGCTCTCTGAAGGGAAATATTTTAATAAACTTATAAAGACCCCTCTTGGCTGCGGAAGTTTCATTCCCTAGAAGGGAATCCCTAGAGGGATCCAGAAGTCCTAGCTGAATGAAATGAAATAGTAAAAGCAACGATGTCTCTGTGTGCAAGTATTTGAAGTCATGTGTTCACCGCTGGGTGAAGTTGCAGCAGAAATAGTAAAAAGGAGAGACACAAAAAGCAATGAGGCATAAAACAGGGTGTGGGTGTGGAGGAGAAGCCCATGGGCTTTGTACACACTGGATCAAGATGCCAAGGTGCAGAGAATAAGAAAAGCAAATAAAGAGGTAGTTAAAGTTGATGTTGTCGCCATGTTATCACACTGAGGTCTGTAATAATTTACAGTGAGTCTTGATATCTTGGATATCTTGGATATCTTGAAGACTGTGGGTGTGGAGGAGAAGCCCATGGGCTTTGTACACACTGGATCAAGATGCCAAGGTGCAGAGAATAAGAAAAGCAAATAAAGAGGTAGTTAAAGTTGATGTTGTCGCCATGTTATCACACTGAGGTCTGTAATAATTTACAGTGAGTCACCTAATTGGTAGTAACTGATTAGTCAATTAATGATGCTTAATATATAATAAAAACTGACTGCTACAGCCTTGCCTCGAACCTATGGGAATCACAGTGATGAGCAGCAGAACACTGGGTAAGGCAGAAGGACATCTATGTTGTGGTGGTTTCTTCACCTCCTGTCTTCTCCAGACAGAAAAAAACCCTCTTTTTTCTCCCTGTCCCTTCTGCACGTCTGGCAGGGAAGGGAGATCTTCCACCCTTTTCTCTTCAGGAGTGGTTGAAATGTGGCCACCCACAGATATCCAAAAACCTCAAATGTCGTGCTCTGTCTGTGGCTCACCTTTTCTCCAGTAATTTTAATTGTCCCAGCAGCTAGCTCTTTGGATCTACAGTAGGGATCATTTTCTGTCTTAGCAGCATGGTAAATGCTAGATACTCCTTTGAAATAATGAAATAAAATGTCTGTTTCTTAAGTAAATGTCCCCTAAAGAGTAACTGGATCTTTCTGTGGTTTTTCTGTCCTTCTCTCTCTGATCTTTATGACATGAAGATTTTCTTAAAGGCCTTAATTATGTGCTGAAACCTGGAAGAAACCCAGGAATGCCTATGCCAGTAGGCAGAAAATGAGAATCCTGCAAAACATTTTTGGAGAGATCTAAAAGAAAGCACCTTATCTTGCATTTTCACTTGGATAACCCATGTAAAATGGGATGGGAGCTCCAAAATAGAGAAAATTATAGGGGGTGTAGAATTTGGAGACCTGGTTTTTTTATATTGGAAGTGAAAAATAACAAACTAAATCGGAAAGAAACTGCTTCCTGCTGGGAAAGCTCATGAATGAGCTGGGGTTTGTGGAGCAAGGCTGGGATGATGTTCAGCTTCCAGCATGGGCTGTTAGTGACCAGAAATAGAGAGAGATGGCTGCTAATAGCAGCCAGCTGAAATAAAAGGTCATGTGTGCCTTTCTGAATTGCCGTTTTCTGTTCAATAGTGGAAATAATGGCCTGGTTGACTTGCAGCAAGGAGATAAGACTCCACCATCTTGTTTAGCCAGGAGACAGGACAAAATTTTCATAAAAAGCATCTTTCCTTTTGAGCGTTTCTGTGTCAAAAGTTCCCTCCAAAGAGCAGCGAGATTCAGAGTAAAGGAAGCGTCTTGATAATGATATGCAAGCTCAAATTCATCAAATGCATCAGCTGGAGACACATTCAGTTCTGGCTTGAAACTTTTTTCAAGCTCCTCCTGTATGTTTGCAACATCTGAAGACTCTGGCACCTGCTTAGGCCTTTTTGAATTTTTCAAACTGTTCACTGAGGTATCCCTAAATTGGAAATCACTAGTGTGTTGCACGTGTCTGTTTTGGGCTATGTGTTCATTCCTGTCTGTGTCGCTGTCTTTGCTCGGTATTTCAAGTGCTCTGTTCCCTCAAGGCTGCTGTTGGCAGCTGTGGCTGTGCCTCCTCCTTCCTTCATCCTCAATATAGAAACCAAGAAAAAGTTGTGCCGAAGCACAGACCAACAGAATGTACTTCCACAACTAGGGAGATGCTAAACTGATGCAGAAAATGCAGAATAAAAGGAAAAACAGTCAGTGTGAGCTAAGCGTACTCAGTGCTTGAAATCATGCCCCTTTTGTACAATAAGAAAAAAGGATTTAAATGACTCATGGTGTTTCACAGGCTGTCCTGTAGAAAGAATGAAAGGAGGCTGGTGGGTTTTGAACAAGTCTCAAAACAGAAGGTTTATTGGATTCTTTCATCAGCTGTGAGCTGGGTTCAATAAAGCAGCAGGAGATGCTGACCATAAGACAGCATGAGAAAATTGATCAAATCACTGCAAACGTATTTAATGTTAAGTGACTCCTTCATCTAATACCTACCAAACCTCTCTCTGCTTCACCTCTCTCTGGTCTTTGAATGTCCTCCACTGCTCAATTGCATAGACTTACTGTTTATATTGTTTAAATCCTAAAGCAGCTCCTCATTTGAAGTTTTCTTCCCATACAGAAAATATCCATTCTCAGGAAAATATCCAGTCCCCAGTGTATTGTCAAGGCTGAATATGATCTTGGATGCTTTCCTGAGAGACGGTCTCTGAGAGGCCATAAATCAAGTCCAAGATAACCGAAGGATAATACATATCTTATAACAGAGCTGTATGGATATGCACAGCTAAATCCATCTCGCTCTATTTTTAATAAATTCAAACTCCTAAATAAAGAGGAGCATGGTGCTGAATCAGGATCTGTAGAGAATTGTCCACCCTGCACCTCAGAGCTGGGGGGACTCCATCAGCCAGCCATGGTGTATTGGGGTCCCTTCTTGCTCTGAGTGTCTCTAGCAGCTGAGAGAAGAAAACCAAGCAGTGTTTGCTTCCCTGGGTATGTGTGTCCTGTGGCGACTTCAGTCTCACTGCAGCACAATGTGTATATAGGTGACTCCTGAGATGAGGGGGGGCCCCTACCACCGCCACCATCCGTACTAACCTGGGAGCAATTTTCTCCTGGCCATAGCTGCTGCCCGATGGCTTTCATATTCCACAAAAGCAAAACCCCGGTTTTTGGTTTTATCAGCTGCGCTAGGATAGACAATGACATCCACAACTCCATCTGTGACTTTTTTCATCTCTGCTAAAATTTCCTCCCTCTTCTTCGTTTTGGGGATCCCTCCCACAAACAGGCGGCAGTTGTCCACGCTGGCGCAGACCCCAAGCAGACGTCCATTCCTGCATAGGAACAATATCGCTGATTTGTCAGGATCAGTTCTCAAAGAGAGGAAAAAATTAAAATAAATCCCCCCTCTTGTCCCAAAACACAAGGTTTCCCACTCTTGCAGCGCGCATCACTTGGGACTTTCAGGTGATCTTGCTCAATGCAAGATCTAACCTGAAGACTGCCACTGCTAAATTTGACATCAAAGTAAGACAGCACAGTTGAAATGAAGGATTTGAGATCACGGGGAAACCAAAGCCAAATTTTGATTTCCCTTCCTGGGATTCTCCCTTTGGTCTTTGCAAAAATGGCAACTGTACCTACCACCCATAGTCACAGCAGTAACTCTTGTGTTGCCACCAGTATAAGCCAGGATTCATTGCGCCCAACAGTGATTTGTAGCTTCCCAGTCACCACTGGGCCTTACAACTCAGGTTTTTGGAAAAATCCCTTCTCATGGGGACACACCACCTTGGGCTAACTGGTATCTGCTGTTGTGCAGACCCCAAAGTAAAAATTTCCTTACATGCACTTTGGTCACTTCTTCGTGGTCCAAGCAGGTCTTGAGAAGTTAAAAAATTCTTTAGAGGAGTCTTTGGAACAAGGGAAGTAAGCAGAGGATGTGGAGGTGGGTGAAATCTGAACTTTAAGACCTTCCAGCCTCTGATTCAAATCACCTTTTAAAGCCTTCTCCATGTGCCTTGAGACCTGCTCATCCTTAGGGTTGCTACCAAAGGAATTCACTACTCATCTTTTTTTTTTCTTAAATGAAGGTCATAAAATTGCCAGAATAGTTTATCTCTAAATGCTTCTAAGCAAAGGCATCTACTTATCTCACTTTGAACTGGAAAAAACCATTAAATGCAAACAAAACATCTTGATGGGCCCATATGTTGTTGATTTCTGGGTGTTTTGTTCCCAATTTTTAGTCACAAACATGAGGGCTTTTTCAGTTCCTATCTATTAGGAAATGTCACTGTTTTGTCAATTGGTTTCCACCCTATTCCACTACTTTTTGCAATTGCTCTGTCTCCCAGCATGTATTTGCAGTATTGGTCATGAGAGAGATTGTGGATAACAATAAATCAACAAAAAAAAGCCCAAAGGGGAACATGAAACAAACAGCAACGGTTAGGCAAAAGTTAATTTGATCCAAACCAAAATATTTTTTTCAGTGTTCTGGTAGATATGGTTTTTTTCATAAGGAAGCAATTTCCTCCAAAACATTTTAGCTCTGATGAGTCCTACATATTGCCTTTGCACAATGGCAAGAAACAATGACTGCACAGGGAGACAGGTGATTTCCTCTTAAAGCTTATGTATCTAAATAACCTTCATCTGTGCTGCAAGGAAAAATATGCATTACATAACAAAATAGATTAATATTTATGATTTAAAGTTGATGAGAAGGTGTTTGCCAGACTTACCTAATCTCATAATTATTCAGTTGCTTTATTGCATTCTTTGCCTCCTGTTTATTTGAGAAGGTCACAAAGGCATAGCCCCTGTTGTTGCCATTAAAGTCCATCATCATTCTCATTTCATAGATTTTCCCGATCTGCAAATAGAAAGAAAAGTAATTCTGAAAGAGAAGTTTATATCAGCAAGGTGGGAGTTGTTTAAACAAAAGTGGGTTCTTCCTTGACTGTATCACATCAGAACTTCAGTCATGGGTAGTCTGGGCCAGATCATCTCCAGTTCAGCCTTGAAATGCAGCTTCGATCATCAGTAACCTCTGCCATACAACTACCCACCATCAAGTCTTACTTTTTCACACAGTGGTATAAGTTCATCTTCAAAGAGGTCTCGGGGCAGTTTTCCAATAAAGATCTCACACCCCCTTTCCGGTGGAGGGCCATCCCAGCCGGGTGGTGGGCCTCCGTATTTCCTCTGCCCATTTTCCTGCCATGGGGAAAAATAAAAGGATGGTTTAGGTGTAGATTTAAAATGTGGATATAACCAACCCCTCTCCCAGGAATGACACTTTAGACACACTCCATTACCAGTGGCTGGAAGCGGATGCCCTCCTTTGCTGCAAGGAGCAACTCTTTACAGACTTTTAGCTCTTTATCAGAGATAATGTAGTGTGCATTGGTTGCCCCACTGCCATGTCTACTCAAAGGCTTTGATATCCCAGTTAGTATGCCGATGATATACAGGAGGAAGTCCTGGTTAGTACCTAGCTGAGTTTTGATAAGCAACATGCAGCAGTATATGCTCTGCAACTCAATTGCTACTTCAGATGTCCAAGATGGACACAGTCAAATACCTCATTGGAAAATTTAGGTCTTCTTGGCTATGGGAGGTGAATCTCTGTGGAGTGTGTGCTAGCTGTGGACCATGTAATATAACACTTGGAAAATATATAACTTGTCATGATTCTTCATCCAGTCATACACATTTATTAGCAAAGATATTGCCTCTTATTTTAGTAATTGATGGAAAGCTTCCAATACAGACCAAAGAAAAGACCCAGCATGTTTGAAAGCAGAAGGGCTTTCCAAAAGCAAATGGCATCTGGAGCTCGGAAAGCACTAACATAGGGGAAAACTGGGGATGAGGGTAGAAATTTGGAAAGATGTGGACAGAGTGAAAGGGGCCAAACATGGGGCCTGAGACATAATTGGCAGCAGGTAATGCTGGAGCTGCTCAACACCCTTGAGAAAAGATGTTTGTGACAGCAGTTGGGTTTAGCAAAGAAGTAGCAAGGCTTGGCACAAGGTGTGGTGAGGACATGAGCCTGGAGAAGGGCACAGAGAAATGGTGCATCCCAATGCCCACCACTTCCTGCACCCAGGAACAGTGAAGCCCTTTCTATAGCTGTGCTGGGCATTTCAGAGGGACCCCAGGAGGAGAGGTCAGGGCAGAGGAGATAACCACAGTGGGCACAGAGGAGGGCCACCAATGGTGGGAGGCCATGCGACAGGCAAGAGATGATGCTTGACTATCCAGGAGCTTCTTTAGGCGGAAGCAAGCCTTGGCCGAAAATGATAATCAAAGATGTGATCATCTTTTTGATATGTTTTTTCAACATTACTGTGTCTCTGTTCATCTCTCCTGTTTTTAATAATCTTTCCTGTGTTTCTTGTTTTCCTTCTTTCTTTCATTCCTTCCTTCCTCTCTTTCTCTTTTTTTCACACAGAATCACAGAATGACAGGGATTCGAATGGATCTCTGGAGATCATCTAGTCCAACCCCCTGCCAAAGCAGCTCCACCCAGAGCAGGTTGCACAGGACGGCAACCAGGCGAGTTTTGAATGTCTCCAGAGAAGGAGACTCCACCACCTCCCTGGGCAGCCCTCAGAGTAAAGAAATTCCTCCTCATCTTTAGATGGAACTTCCTGTGTTCATGTTTGTGCCTATTACATCTTGTCCTGTCACTAGGCACCACTGAAAAAAGACTGGCCCCATCCTCCTGACACCCACCCTTTAAGTACTTATAAGCATTGATCAGATCCCCCCTCGGTTTTCTCTTCTCCAGACTAAAAAGACCCAAGTCCCTCAGCCTCTTCTCATATGATGCCCTCATTTTTGATGATGCCCTCTGCTGTACCCTCTCCAGTAGTTCCCTGTCCTTCTGGAACTGGGGAGCCCAGAACTGGACCCAGTGCTCCAGATGGGGCCTCCCCAGGGCAGAGCAGAGGGGCAGGATGACCTCCCTCCACCTGCTGCTCACACTCTTCCTGATGCCCCCCAGGATGCCATTGGCCTTCTTGGCCACAAGGGCACATTGCTGGCTCATGGGCGCCCTGTTGTCCAACAGGTCTTTCTCCTCAGAGCTGCTCTCCAGCAGGTCAGACCCCAACTTGTACTGGTGCAGGGGGTTATTCCTTCCCAGGAGCATGACCCTGTACTTGGCCTTGTTGAATTTAATCAGGTTCCTCTCTGCCCAACTCTCCAGCTTGTCCAGGCCTTGCTGGATGGTGGAACGGCCTTCTGGTGCGTCAGTCATCCCTCCCATTTTTGTGTCATCAGCGAACTTCCTTCCTTCCTTCCTTCCTTCCTTCCTTCCTTCCTTCCTTCCTTCCTTCCTTCCT